CCCCTCCCTCAGTGTGCCTCCATCACCCCGGTGTGTGTGGACCTGGCAGACTGGGGGGCCACGGAGGCGGCCCTGCAGGACGTGGGCCCCATCGACCTGCTGGTGAACAACGCAGCCTGCGCCACTCTGCAGCCGTTTCTGGAGGTCACACCAGACAAGTTCGACCAGTGAGAACATTTACAAGATACTTTAAAGTGACAGTTCACCCCAAAAAACAAAGTATATATGTTTTCCTGGTCCTCGCAGTGCTATTTATGAATTTAGATTGTTTTGAGTTACTACTGATAGAGATGTCTGTCTTCTTCCAATTTAATATAACTAGATGACACCATGTATGTATCACTCAAAGTGGCAAAACCTATACCTGAACAATAGCAATGTCTCATTTAAGATATCGTGACCCTGTCATTCAGGATAAATGCACAGGATTGTGAGGAGTTTCATGGAGGAACCATTTCCTTTCTACACTATCACCGTGCAGATGTTAGCATGCATCTACTCATGGAGAGAGGCTCATGCTCCTGACAGTGAGATGAAACTAACTCTTAAGAGGAAAATATGCATTCGTGCTTTGGTGCTGAACTGTGCCTTTAGTGATTTGCAACCAGGAAGCTGCAGCAGCAGACAGAGTACAGCCTGTTCTGTTCGTTCTGTTTTAAGGTGTCTTTCATCCCCAGGTCCTTCGATGTGAACGTGAAAGCGGTGCTGCATGTCTCCCAGGTACAATAATACCTTAAATCCTCATCACTACACCTGCATGTCCTGCATTCTAGGCTCCATTCTGTTCTTTTGTGCTCTCTACTAAGTACATGTTTTGCTGATCTTAACATTAATTGTTAACTTTAGTTTGTGTTTCGGGGAAAGTGCATGTTTTGGATTGCTGGCTCTAACCGCAGCACTTCATCAGGCAGGGATACTCTTAGTCATGAGATCAGTATGACCGCTTTCTGCTTACTGTGTATGTGAAATGTCTAGAAGAGAGCAGATTTAGCAGATTAATCATTGATTTTTAGCTATGAAAGTAATGTGTTGGACCAAGTTTCTACTTTTATAATTAAAACTGGTTCGGTTGAAGTAAGAACGATGTAACTTTTACAAGGTTGGAGAGTAGTTCCTTAGGTGAAATGTGAGAATTTCGTGTGTGTGTGTGTGTGTGTGTGTGTGTGTGTGTGTGTGTGTGTGTGTGTGTGTGTGTGTGTGTGTGTGTGTGTGTGTGTGTGTGTGTGTGTGTGTGTGTGTGTGTGTGTGTGTGTACTGAATGAACACATATATATATGTTTTAGAATAAATTTCTTCTTGAGTTTTATATGTATCAACATACAAGGGGCCGTTTGTCACAATGGAACTCCTTATATTTGGCTGTAATATATTAATTGTTTTAAGCTGGAGAAATTGTAAACATTGCTTGCTATATGTAGTAGACACATATGTGTAAAATGTGAGAGCCCTAACAACTCGGGGAGTAAGAGTTATAGCCCTTTTGGTCTCAACTACAATAAGTTTCCCTTTTATAAAAAACATCCACAACATACTGTTTTATTCCCTTTGTGTTGGGATGTGTGCTCCAGTTGAAACAGAGTGTGTCTCTGTGGTCAGATGGTGGGCCGGGGTATGAGGGCCCGAGGGTCCGGAGGCTCCATCGTGAACGTGTCCAGCCAGGCGTCACAGCGCGCCCTCAGAGAGCACGCCGTCTACTGTGAGTCCAGAGCTGTGGAACACTCACCTGCAGGGGGCGCTCGATAGAGGAAGAGTTCCGGTCTTAAATCCAAGTAGCTGATAGAGGCGTTCAGAACAGTTATGATCAATTCTTTCATCTGGTCACTGATTGAATCAATAGCTTTCAGTGGTGGATAAACTGCTAAACATAATTCAGAATCAGATTAAGGCCAAGTAGGTTTACACAAGATGTTCTTTTTCAAAAAATGTGTACATATAAACTGAAAGATCTTTCTCCGTAAATGACCCTGCTATCCGCTACACATACATGAAGATGGTGTCAGTCCTGTGTTAACTTCTTCTGCAGGTCAGTAAACGTCCTGTTGTCTCTGTTTCCTGTCGTTGTCCAGGTGCCTCTAAAGCAGCTCTGGACATGCTGACTAAAGTGATGGCTCTGGAGCTGGGCCCCTACCAGGTCAACTCACACCAACACATCACTAGAATGTTTTTGAGTTCATTTGATGTATCATTCATGAAAGGAGCCCCTGTATAACACTTATTCTGCACTTGATGTGTGTGTAACCTCCATTTTATTCCTATGCTTCTCTTAAATTGTAAACAAGCGTTTCATAGTGTCTGTTTCATAATGACAGTCCAGAGTTACAGGTTATGGGTTATTAATGAAGAATATGAAATAAGTACAGTTAAATCCTTTTCATTTGTCTCTGGTGTTGATGATACGTTTTTAACGATGTTTCTGATTGAATGTGTTGTGTTCAGATCCGTGTGAACAGTGTGAACCCCACAGTGGTGATGACGGACATGGGGCGGCTGGGCTGGAGCGACCCCGAGAAATCCAACACCATGATGTCCAGAATCCCCCTGGGCCGCTTCGCAGGTAAAGGCCCTGACACACCAAGCAGTCACCAGAGAACTCGCCGACGCTGAAGCCGATTGTTGCGTCGGCGTGTTCTCCTGCGTCTTGGCCATGTGTCACACTGGAACACACCGCAAAGACTTCAGCCGAGCACGTACGAACTGCGCATGCGTGAGTGGCAATAACTCTCCTTACCAGCAGGCGGCGGTAGTGTGTATTCGTCATTCAAAAGAGGCAACATCCGGAAGACAGAGAAGCCATATGCCATACATTTTTGCATACATTCACAGTAAATATTTATTCAGTATGATGGCTTTCTAACAGAAGTTCAATCCATTTCTCACTTATTCTGACAATGTACTTAA